CGAAGAAGGACTTCGTACTTCGTACCTTCCGAGGTGTTCCAGCACATAGCGAGATTACGAGGCTCATATTCGAACCTCAGGATGCTTTTAGTAAGTAGGCTAAGGACGGATTCGAACCATCATTCGTGGATTTGCAGTCCAATACATTACCTTTATGTTACTTAGCCTTTGATTTGATTGATGAAAAAAGAAAGGTGCGAAGCAATGAGTTTTTTTTCAATTTTTAAAAAATCAAATTCGTGTTTGACTCATCTACGTGGGAGTGTTTTACAATGTTCAGTGGAACAAATACAAGATAACATGGTGGTGGTTGAAACAGGGCTGAAAACTCGATTCATTTGTTTGAAACATGAACTGGAGTTAGAAGATTCGTCGAGCAGCACCTAACATATATTTGCGCCGTACTCGAGCAGCTGGACGATGCGAATTTAACAGTCAGCGGAACAAAGAGCCGATGGGCCGTCTCAACTATTAAGATCTTGGGCTTTATCTGTGACTCGAGAGGACACCGAGCAGATCCAACAAAGTTAGAAAAACTCCTAAACTGACCGTCACCGTTACATAGCCCAACCGAGGTCCGGCAGTTTCTGAGGGTGGTCGGTTACTGGCGTATATTCATACGGGGGTATGCGGAGAAGGCTGAGCCATTGAGGATACTCCTTCGAAAGACTGAGAACTTCTATTGGAATTCTTCGCAGGAACTTGCTATGCAAGAACTTAAAGACGAATTTAGGGAAGGAGGACGCGTGTTGGGTGTGCCATTCTTTGACGATGAGACCGAGAGACCCTTCATAGTATCCACGGATGCTGGACCATGTTTAGTGGGTGGTTTGCTGTCTCAGAAGGACGCTGGAGGGAAGGAAAAACCAATAAGATTTGAGAGTAGGACACTTAATACGGCTGAGCGTAACTACAGTCAATTCAAGAAGGAAGTGTTAGCTGTTCTCTGGTGTCTAGACACGTTCAGACACTATATCTATGGGCGACGGTTCATCTTGAGAGTAGACCCCACCRCGGTTGCCTCTGTCCTCCAGAAGGACTTTAGTCTGACGGACCCGACCATCGCCCGATGGTTAATACGGATTCGGCTATACGATTACACGGTTGAGAGAGTATCTGGTACTAAAAATGCCGTGGCAGATGGATTTTCACGCATCCCTCTCGAGCGTCCGATAGTAGCTGGGGCTCTGACAATGAMAGAGCCGAGGCGCGCCGAGAGATTTCTAGTTAATCTTTACGAGGGCAAGTACCGAAGGATCGGACTGCACCTGACGGGAGAGGAGAGTCAAGATTCAGAAATACGGAGGCAAGCAGCCCARTACTGCCTTAGAGCGGGCCACCTTTTCCGAAGGCCAGTAGGGTCGGGAATGCCCTTACGAGTAGTCTGTGATCCTGAGGAGAGGCAGACGATAGTTGCGGAACTTCACGACGGGGTAGTCGGAGGACACAGGGGAGTTAAAGGAACCTACGAAAAGATACGCCGGCTGTACTGGTGGGAAGGACAGTATAAGGACGTCGAGAGGTACTGCATGACATGCGAAGAGTGCCAGAAGAGAGCTCTTGTGAAATACAAAGAGCCACTTCACCCATCCTATCCGACCAGACCAGGAGAGAAGGTACACATTGATCTAGTGAAAATGCCGAGAGGGGTAGGCAATATG